ACATGAATTATATGGTTTCGGGATCAGCTATCGGATGATGGAGATACATGGTCAGGAGGAGATCCTACTGTGTTGAGAGGTACTGATTTGTTTGCCACAGATTCTTATCCTTTATATAAACAGAAGCTGGGGAGCGAAGTTGCTCGACCAAAAAAGGCTTTGTTTGGGAGTAAAAGTGCTCAAAGTCGTTCATTTAGAGTCCCTCAGAGTGAAAAAGAAGATGAGTCACTTGAGGGAATTCAAATAAACACTCTCCGATTAAAGAAGAGCATTGCTTCATTTCAAGAAGATAAGTATCCACCTGGAAAGAATTTCTGCTCAGATGCTGTAGATGTTTCAGATGCATCTCCTCGTGGAACTAGCATGAGAAAGTTTTCCCCACCTTTTGTACCAAATGCCTGGAGGCGACTATCTGTGCCTGTGGAGCTAAATAAAGCTCGGTTGGATTTCTCGGAGGAAGAAGATGAAGAAGAAACAGGGAAATGGGAATCTGAAATGACTCAAGAACGTGAGCTGCCAGATAATGATTATGTTTCTGGTGATAATGGAGAAAGAAATGAGGTCTTACTGAGATCAAATCCTTCATCTAGTGGTTACGATGATTATAATGATGATGACGACGAAAGTAGTGAAGAGGAAGAAGCTAATAACAAAAGAGCTCATGTTTTGGACAAAACTGATGATATGGGTGCTGAGTTCTACCAGTCAGACAGTCCACCATCTATTGAAATCTTACCCAGAGAGCGAGCAATGTATTACTCCGAAGTTGGGAATATGATTTACGGGCAAACCTCTTGCAAGGAGAATGAAAGGCTTGATTCTGTAGTTGGACAAGGAAGCTTATTTGTAGAGGTTGATACCATTCCTATTCCAGGACCTCCAGGATCATTTTTACCAAGTCCTCGAGATATGGGTTTTGATGAGAATCTTGGGAACTCGTCGGTTATCACAAGCCAGGTTCAGTCTTCCATGGATCAGCTTGACAGAAACTCATCTGAATCACCTGTTTCCGCAGTTTCAAACTTTGCAGCTGGTAGATTGAATTTTCCAGCAGAGTTATCTTCTACTTTCCGAGAAAATTTCTCACCGGATATTGCCATGTCCTACTCAACAACCTCGATGGGCTTTTGTGTTCCATCTCATCATGGGACAACCGAGGCTGAGCCAATTACCATTGACAAGACAACATTACCTTCCAGATTTAGAAACAATGATCAAGAGTCTTGTTGTTGCCAAAGAAAAGAGAGAATCTCCGAGGGCATTACTCGGAATCATCAAGGATCTCACTTGCTGCAGCGAAGAGCAGCTTCTTCGTCAATCACGATGAACTTAACTAATTCACCCACACGTTTGGATCCAAATCATCCATTTGAGCAGTCACCATACAAGATCCAACAAGCTTTGGATCTCCAGAGTAAGTTCTCCAGCAGAACGAATCCCAACGCCGTTGTGCCTCCAAGTCCTTCTAACCCGGTTTTAAGGTTAATGGGAAAAGACTTGATGGTCATGAACCAAGGAGAAGCAGATGAAGAAGCATCCCGGTCTAGCTTAACACCAACCCCTCAGTTTGTTGATCCTCCTTGTGGTGGAACTGGCTTATACTTCAACACAGGTCTCTATTTAAGAAACAGTTTCGAGTCAACACAACAACCACAAGCCCAAACCCAACCACAACCACAACCACAAGCTGCAGCATTCAGAAACAATTTTGATCATGTAAGATACTTTTCTCCGAGCTAGTCACCGTAAAGTTTCGACCTTGATGCAGTGTAAGAAGCAGCCGAGAAGTGGGTTCTCTTCGAAAACCGATCATCAAACATGGATGCATTCGGGTTTTAAGGTATCTACGGCATTTTCTATGCTTCATCTCTTTCTGCAGAGACTTTGTGTAGTTACTGTTTACAAAAGAAAAAGCAAACACTTGAAAATAACAAACACTCTGTAGAAGGATAAGTAACTTAAGGCTTTTATTGCCACCAAAGTTATCAAGTTATAGTTTATCTTTAACTTTTGGCTATTGTCAATGTTTTAAATGGTAATAATCCTTTTCTTCCACAAATTGCAGTAGAACTCAATCTTATAAAGCATCAAAGATGAGTAACTTTAGGCTTTTATTGCATGCAACCAAAATTGTCTAAAAGGTCAAAAGTTAGGGTGAAATCATGAACCTTAGACCAATATGGTTTTAACTAGATTAAAATAACCAAAAACTAATTAAAAATAGAATC